TGCTCCAGCAGCGTCTATGAAGACACACTTTTTGGAGTCTGTGGGCTTAATACGTTTGTGTAGATGTTTATGTGCATTCATATTTTATTCATATGGGGCATTCCGCGGAAAATCGGACTCCATTTGACTTAAGCATCTACGATTTTTTTTTTTTTAATTTTTTATGTTATAGCAAAGGCTTCGCTAGTTTAACATTTTTTCCAGCCGTTTTCGAAAATCGATTTTTGAAAAAAAAAAATTAAAATTTCCATAAATTTGATAAAAATTGGCATATTGGGAACGTTTTTAAATATTTTTTTCGAAACACTTAGAATATATAATCGAAATTTATTTTCTTAAAATGATAACCTTTTTTATATAAAATGGTGATTTCCAAAAAAGACGTATTTGATCGATTCACTTGAATTTTTTCCTATAAAACGGTTCCTAATTTCACAGGTTTTAACCCTAGTTCGATAATGGTATAACAATGAGATATATTTTTTTTTAATATTTTAGTATAATAAAGTGCAAGCTTGAAATAGCTGGGACTAGCATTTTTTTATATGGAAGAAAATAAAGGTGTTGCCTTCAACAAAACAAAAATTGTGAAAACTAAACGGTTAGATCATAGTGTTGCCCAATTATAGGACTAGCCTTACAATTTGTGAAATTAGTGACATTTGTTACAAACAATTTTCATGTAAATCGATTAGTTCGCGGTTTTTGGAAATAAATATTTAAGTTTATTAAAATTTTTAAAGTTGTATAAAAATGCGGTACCAATCGGCTCATTTTTCGCAAAGTTAAGGTCCTTTAAAGAAGGAACGATTTTTTCAAAAATCGATAGCTAGACAACAGCTGCACAAAAAAGAATCCGGGAGGCCCCTCTTAATTGGTAACATAAATAACATAAAAAATTTTGAAAAAAAAATCGGAGCTGCAAAAACTAAATGTTGTTTGATTTGGCGCGAAATGCCCCATATGTATGAACATTAGGCATATGACTTAAAATTAAATATACCTATTAAGAGAGGATTAGTGATGACAAGAAACCAACACTCACAAAAAATATTCCTTGATGCTAGGAAAAAAAAGTATATTATTCTAAGAAAATATTACCTTAAAATGGCTCCGATGGCATGGCTGTCTTAATATGAGTAAACGATTTGACTCAGTTTAAGGAAAACAGTTTATTACGAAAAATTTATTTGCCATTTCATCCCCCGTGAAAGGAATAAGTATGCCATCTTGCTCGTGGTGCTCAAACAGTGGCAATGGCCGAGAGCCCAAAGCTCTAGCGCTAGGTATTCCATACAATATTTACACCTAAATATTTTTTTTTTGGGTGAAACATATATTTTTACATTCTTTATCGAAAAAAAGAAGACACCTATTAGTATAAACTTTATGTACGCAAGTATGAAAAAACTCGTAACTTCTACAGTTTTGGTGTTGCCATTCTCAAATTTTTAAAGCTTACTCCATAAAGTATGACAACTCTTCAGGTTGAAAACAAATCAAACATGATGAAGTTAATTAAAATAAAAAATTAAAAAAATGCGATTTTTTAGTACAATTTTGTATTTTATTCTAATCTATCTCACACTCTCATAGAAAGCCGAGGAAATTACACATATTTTGATACCTTAACTGATTTTCTCCGTGAAATAGTTTATTAAAAAAAGATACTTCTCCGTGAGTTCAAAATTTCGGTATTTTTTTTTGAGATTTTCGAACATCATGACGAGATTAAAAAAATAGGTGTCTTTTTTCGATAAAGAATGTAAAAAAAAAAAATATTTCACCCAAAAAAAAAAAAATATTGAGGTGTAAATATTGTATGGAATGACCCATATGTAGGTAACGGAGAAAATAATTTAGGTTTTGTAAAATGAATCAGTGAACACAAGGCGAATCTATACAAGGTGGTGTTGTAAGATCAGTTGATTTCTTCGTCTTACATGTTTGCACTTTGTTTTTCCTTTTACTGATTTGACAGCACACCCATCAAAAGCAAAAACAAAATACTTGTAAACTTTGAGGTGAATTGAGAATTGGCATAACACCCGCAATACAAAATACATGTAGTTGTTGTTATTGTAACCTAAATTTGCCAGTAACAGGAACTTGTTTAAATAAATTCGCCTTGAGTGAACATTACCAAATCGCGCCGAAGTAATCGTAAAATAATTCCTAAAATGTCTTGCGATGATAACGATGCACAAAAACCAAAGTTGCGGGCGAAGATTAAAAATGCCGAATATGGCTTTGTTTAATCATTAATTCGCGTTTTCCAGTTGCGTTATTTCTTTATGCCTATAAGTTAATTAGTACCTTACGTATCTAAAAATATTGTTGCCACCATAATTTCTGAATTTAGGTTTTTTTGCAAAATTTTTTTCGCAGTAAACTGTTTTCTTGATTTAATAAACATATGTAAATATATATTAGCGTGCGGCTTAAATTTTTGCTTATAAGGTATGATTCACATTTGACTACGGATACGAGTAAAATTTTTAGAAACATTTATGAGCAACTCTCAATCAAATAAAAAATGCCAATTACACTGTGCTTTAATAAGTCGGTAAACTTTCATCCGATTTTTGAAAATAAACACTAATTTTTTCATTATTAAATTTAGTTTCGAAAGGCTCAAGCTTCCTCTCTTTAAACCCAGCAATAAACTGCAACTCGGTTCATAATCAACTACATAAGTTACATGCTTATAAGTGAGCAAAAGTACGAAATACCGTTTTCTTAACGGTAAATCAGGATTCTGGGGCTGGTTGGCAAATTTGATGCTGATGTTTTGATCATTTTATTTATTTCAATTTTCCATGCCAAAATTTTTCTTATTTTTTTTGAAATATAAATGTAGTTCATTCGACAGCAAAAACACAATCTTTTTTTATCTAAAAGAAGTCTTGTAACATCCTCTGGAAAAAAAATCAAGGTACATTTTTAGCGACTTGAAACTTACACTACAAAAACTTAATTGGCTAAAAAACTGCGTACTCAAAATTTTTCTACGAAATCGAATTGAAAAGTTGAAAATTATTGTATACTTATTTTTGACACTCACTGTATGTACATAAAAGTACTTATTTTTATGCGCCACCCAGCTAAAGCTTTTAATGTGTTTTAAAGACACAAGACAATTTTCACCTTTATTTTTACATTTATTCGATTATCTCCTATGACATGCACATGTTAAAGTAACGCATTCTGTAAGCGCCGAAGATCGATTGGGGAAGCACTTCTCGAGAGTAACCGCTTACTTTCTCGTTTACAGAATGCGTTACTTTAATATATGCATGTCATTGGAGGTGATCGAAGAAATGACAAATTGCTTGCCATTGCATTAAATGTAAAGATAATTTGTCTGGAGGCGACTTGTAATTCATTACTCCATTGATAGAAAAACAAGAGCTTCCCAAAAAATTAAAAAGTTTTCGCTGGACATTTCACTGCCAACGCTTATTCACACACACATAAAAACATTTGCGTAGGTACCCTGCCGAAAAAAATTATTAATCGATAACAAATAACCAACTTGTGGTTAGCTTTTTTGTGGGATTTCGATAAATATCTAAATTTTAATTAGCTGTGACCAAACTAACTTTAAGTGAGTTGTAGAGTCGTGCAGGAGTTTCTTTAAACACGCTTCATGTAAATATACTCATATAAAAATTCCTTTGAATACACTTTTTTTCTGCACTTCACAGATGCTTTCTCGATATCAGGACTTATAAAATAAAGCTCGAAATTTTATATTATCATTTTATTGTTATGTCTGATGGAATTAAAATATGGGACCAAATACAAAAGAACATATAAACAAATAAGCCAATATCTAATGTTAAATAAATAATGTAGATGGAAAATNTGCAATAAGCGTTTTTGTGAAGCTCTAAAAATTACAACTACAACATTTGAACATAGCCCCCATACCTTAAGGTAAGACGTATTCTACGTCAAAAAAAACGTTTTTATTTATATTTTATGTCCAAAAGTAGTTAGCTACAATTTAGTTGCAGAGGAAAGCAGTTCTCACTATTTTGCGACAAACGCTCTTCAAAAGGAGTTAGTTACGGACTAGTGTGACTGCTGGGTAGTTATAGGTTAGCTATAAACTGGCCCCGTTTTCTGCAGGGTAGGTACGTGCACTCCTTTTTCTTACATGCATACTAGCAAAGTTTTGGCTTAGGCTGGGTCAGTTAGCGGCATTGTAAAGATGCCACATTTTTCGCTTTTCTTTTATTACATATCTTTTGTTACTATTGATGTTGTGCCGCTTTTTTGTATCCACGTTGGATTTTATTGTTATGAAAATTTCTAAATTGTTTCATATTTCGACATTTTCATGTTTAATGTTTCCAAACTCACCCGCTTATCTTTGTGTTAATTTCGTTGCGCAGACATTTTGATGATCACTAATTATGGCTCATAAAATTTTTGAGCAGTGCAGTGAAAAAACTTGCTGCGCTTTCGTTTACAAAAATATTTTATTCAAGCACGGTGGCGCATTTTCTACTAAATTTACAAAAATTATAAAAACTTACAACTAAGTAGGTATATACATATACATATATGCGCTTGTATATGTAGCTATGTATGTATGTACAATTAAGTCGGCAAATTGATGCTTGCGCCGTGAAGTTCGACTAGCAGCGGCTGATCAATTTTCGTTGTAGCAGCAGAGTGGCGAGCATTTGCATAACAACAAACAATTTAAAATTAAATTTATCAATACTCAACCAAACATAAACAAAAATAAATAAACAATATGTTTAACCATTAACAAAACGGTGACAGACAATGTATAAATTATGATGGAGTATTTCAGCATAATTTTATGATAGTTAAAAAAATAACAAAATTAATTAACAGAGAAAACAGGGAGTAATGTAACAAAATCAATTTAGGTGAGTTACATAATTAAAGAAGCGCATAAATTGATCACACAATTGCAAATAAATATATAAGCAAATCGAAGTGATTGTAATTTTACTTTTGAGCGCACAGATATTTATTTTATCTAGCCATTGCTTTCTGCTCTGTTTTTATCTGCCTTTCAACAAATTTCTCTTCTATGATGCATTTAAAATGGCGTTCAGTCGATTAATTTAAACTCGATGAAAATTCTAATTAACTTAAATTACAATTATACAATTGGTGGCAGGTATTTGCCAGCCCCGCCACTGTTGCTGCCGCCAGCGCTGCTGCTTGACATACCAAAACTGTTGCCAATGTTACCGCCTGCGTTGCCCTGGTTGTGATCCAGCGATCCAATTACCGAAGCGACTGGCGCAACGCCTTCGTCGGAGATCTGTGTGGTGCCACCTAGTTGATCGTATTGCTCTGCAAGTAAATTGGAATATAATTAATTGGAAAAGTCCTTAGTCATATTTTGTGAAGTCTACAAGAATCAAAAGAAATATACATATATCAATGAGAAATGCGCCCGGAGTGTGAGTGTTCTTAAAACTTAAAAACTTAATAAGCGACCGGCTTTTTCGTTATAAATGAGTGGCGTTTTCTTTTCTCAAAATAATGTTGTCCTTTCTCCTCATCCCTTTCACACTTTAGGTGTTCATTTCTCAAAATATTGCCCTCCGACAAAAGTGCAATACTTTCTACTAATATAGCAATTTTTCAGTAACCTAGTGCAAATGTTTCAAGAAGGCAACTTTTTTCAACAGAAAGAAAATGCCATAAGTTTGTAATTGATCTTTTTTTGTATTCAAGTAACACGAACATGACTTCTGATTTAAAGCTTAGCTATGTATAAACGACAGTTTCCCTTGTTAAACAAAAATAATTTGTATTGAATTTACCAGTCTCTCTTTCTTTGATTTATTTAATGAATTTACTGGTCTTTCTACTTGTGATTTATTTAGATCAGGCATGCCCAACGCCGGCAGAACTCCATAAGCAAGTGCCCTGCGCTGGCAGAATTCAATAGGCAAGTGCCCTGCGCTGGGCACGGCTGATTTAGATAAAACATGTGAATTTTAGTTAAATATTTAGCCTTTTTTTTGCCAATTTAGCTGGTCGGCCCAAAAATTTCTGTCAGCTCTGATCATCGGATTCTATCGACGTCTTTGCCGGAACTTTTTAAGCTGTCTAACTTTTCTGTCTCGTGGAAATATACCTATTTTCCCCTATTCTACTGACATCGTATGGTCTTTGGGCTGCAGGGTGAAATTATATGTTGCGTCCGTCATACCAGTTGTTTCTGAGTCCGCGGCAGTAACTACCTACCTCTAGAGCAGCGATATGAAAGATTGGAAGATGGAACTACACTACTCAATTATGGCTTGGCGACGCTTGTTTCAGCCGTAAGCGAAATTTAACAAAGTAGTGATGCCAGTCGGTGTGAGCTCTTTGGATAGAATGAATGTCTAGAACACCAGAAGTGTACATATGTACATTAGGGTGGTCCAAAAAGAGTTAAAAATGTTAAGCTCTCACCTCTAGATTTTTTCCAGAATAAAAAAATACCCCTGTTTTCTTGTTAAAAAAAGTGATATTTAGAACAGCATCCAAGACTATGTATTTTACGTGGGGAAAAATACTTTTTCGTAGAAATGGTATATAATTCTTAAAAATCTACATTTTTCGATCGGAAAACTTTGTGTCTTTCCAGAAGACTTTCAATAAAAATACCCTTAATGGACAAAGAGTGCATCTAATATAACCATCATATCAGTGCGACCACTTTTTGAGGATTTTTATTTTGAAGAATTTTTTATCGATATATTTGCAGACAACAAATTCAACCATGTTTTACGCAACATAATTGTTAAATTCCTCTGAAAATTTTTGAGCAAAAAAAAAAAGCTTTCCAAAGTTTTATAAAGAGTGAAATACACCACACATACGGCTTTTCAAACATTACACCATACACCATGCAAACATGACTCGTTCAAGCGAAGAATTCTAGTTTTCTTCCGGTTCACAATCTAAAAGGGTATGGTTTTCTTCGATTTTTTTCTCTTGCGTCGTCATTCGGTGAAAATTCCGTTGCGAATGAGGCGATTTTACCATACACAATGTAAGCGGTTTGATCAAACTTTAACATGGCGGCCAGAAAATCAAAAAATTTGGGTTTTTGTTCACATTTCCCGCAAAAGGCTTGACAAACCTTTAAACACCCCCATACACAACATAAATAGCTTTAAGGAAAGTAATATTTCGCTTGGTTTGTCAAGCCGCTTGTGTGGTGCTTTTCCCTGTTAAGCACATCTGCGTTTGCTGCCAAATATTCAAAATGTTATCGATAATTTTTTTTTTGGATTCCATATGTGCTATTTTCAACTTATTTTGAACTTGCAAAATCTCGATAACGAGGTAGAGAACACGAATTGTTCGATCATAAGAATTTTCATATTGACTCTTCATTAGATCCAGAAAATTATCGGAAAAAAGTTTTTGAGTTAAAAGATTCTTCAGGTTCATATAAGTTTCCCAATTAAAAAAATTATATCTGCATGACTAATATAGCCCTTTTCTAATACTTTAGTATAACGTATTTTTAGTAGTTTAAAAATGTGTAGGACTGACTTGAGGACCAGATGGAACCCTGATATAGTTGCAGCAATATTATATACAAACCAAAGCTTAAAAAATAACGATACTTGTTTGAGCCGCAAGAAAAAATGTACCAAATGAATTTGCAGAATGTAATTAATATTTATACCAAGGACGTGTAAATAGTATGTAGTACACAATACTAATATCTGTAATAAGAAAGTTTTGAGTAATTTGTTGGATTTTGAGGATTTTTCATTTTTTTTTGAGGAATTTGGTATTTTTTTTTGTGGCATCACATATTTCTTTGTATTTTTAAGTTGAAAATGACTCAAAAATTCTCCAGTGACCTTGAATACACAATGCGTCACCATATCAAAAATTTAAAGTTCCCATATGCAGAAGAGATCTAATTTGCATATAAGCAAGAAACATACATACATATGCAAATATAAACGAGCGGGCCCAAGAAGCTGATTACCGTAAACTATAAAATCGAGTATAGAAGAATAGCGCTAAAAATATGTTAATAAGATAAGAGCAGATATTCGCTAATTGGGCATTGATTTTCGCGTCGAATGATTCATCACAATTTCCACAGTTTACCATTTTCTCTCTGACGTTTTTCGAAATTTTTTACCTCCAGCCATGCAGAGTTGCAGAACAGGAAGTAGAAATCATTAATGGTTTTATGAACAAAAAAAATCGATCAGAACCTTTCAATAATATATATAACTTTTTCCTGCTTTGAAATTTATGAAACGGCTTTCAAGCGCTTCTGGCGCATTCTCGGTAGGCGGGGTGAATGCCACCTAAATACTTACCTTGGATTGTGCGTTGTGCATGTTGCGCTTCTTCTTGTGTGCGATACTTAATGAAGTATACTTCCGGTTTGCTGGGCTGCTTGGGTGCTGCCTCTTGGTAGGTTGCCTGCAAGTCAATTGGATCCGGTTTACGCGTAAGCACATAGATGATAGTCTTCTCTTCGGTTGGCGCTTGATTCACACGCAAGGCTGCAGCGCTGGTCTTATGTGATGGCGCTTTAATGAATACAATGCGATAGTGCTTGCGTGGCGGTGGTGGCGGCAATACCGGGCGCTGGTAGCGTTCCTCCTGCTCCTCGGGTGCTACATGCACATAAATGTCCTTGGTTACCAGAGATGGTGATTGTGCGTAGTTGCCTTGTTGATATTGCTGTTGCGCGTAAGATGGGTGGGCGGGTTGTTGTAAGAAAAGGCTTGGCTGAAAGCCAGAGTGTTGTTGTGTTACCTGCGACAAAAGGGCGCCTTGATAAAAGTTATTCGGCGTTGCAGCGGTAGGCACAGGTGCTGGCGCGCTCACAGTGACGGGTGGAAGGTAGGTGGTGGGCGGTGCGCTGATGAGCGATTGCGCTAGTTTTGTATTTTGTAATGCCTGCTGCAGAAAGCTGGGAGTTTCGACTGCGGCAGAACTGCTGTGTTGTTGTTGTTGTTGCGCGCCTGATATGCTACTAATACCCGGGAGTTTGATTTGAAAGCTGTTCTGTTGATTTTGGAAACTGCTTTTCTGATTTTGATAGCTGTAGCCCTGCGGTTTGGCATAAGCCGAAGCGAGTAGGCAGAGTGTCTGAAATTGGTGAGAGAAGGCGTTAAATTTAGCAAATAATGATATAGTGGATATGGATATAGTGGAATCTAAATAAAAAATTTTCACATTGTCACTCGTTAACAACGGTTTCGTTACCGCGGTTAGAAAATGTATATGTACGTCGAAAGGTTGGTGGATAGGCAAGTCCGACCCTAGGACTATGCAGAAAAAATTCAAAATCTATATAAAATATACCAAATTTGAAAGAGTTTGGTGGAGAATTCGGCGCTGAGGCTAAAGAACAATATATCATAGAAATTTGTGTAATAATAATAAGATTTTGGCGCTAGCACTTTTGCTAAGTATTTGGCAGAGTCTCTCTTGGTCAGTTCATTCGCCACACAGTTTTATGTAATACATATTACTGTGACCCGAAACGCGCAGGCTATACTCTGACATGAACGAAAGATGGGTCAAACTTTTTCACAACTGGTAACTTTGGGAACACAGTGAGTGAGCTCAAGGCGTCTTGTATATCAGAGCAGATATTTATGTCCCTTGCTGACGTCTCGCAAATTAGCAGCGAATCAACTACTTTCATAATGGCATCCAACACTCACTGAAGAACGTTAAAGTGATCTGAAAGTTAAGGGTTCCTACAATGGAGCTTTTCATCGATAATACCCGTTAAGTTTCAAGCCATCCATGTAAATGTTCAACGGAGTCTTCCTTGTAACGACTGCTTTTCGTCCACTTATGTTTAGCTGGGATCTAAGTAGGCGAAAAGCTAAGTGGTGTCAATTAGTCATGCACTGATCCACGTTATAAGGGATAAACCTCTTTGGTAAGTCAGGTCTGACTGTAGCCTTTGGTGTAGTAGCCTTACCAAAGATGACAATGGTTACTTTGTATCACCGATAAGAGCCAGGGTGTGAATGGTTGGTTAGTTGTAGTAGTTTGTTAACTTTGTAACAAGAGAGGAGCAAATTATAGAAATTTTGAAACCACAAAATCGTGAAAAATATACAGCCATCTGGCGGTTTGATGAACTTCTGTATATCATACAGAGAGAGTACTGAAGTACTCAGCTGGAATGTTGAAATGATGGAATGATAAAAGAATATTCGAACAGATATCCGAATATACGGATAGTCAAAATTTTGTAGATGAAACACTTTAATATTTTTGAATTAAAACTGACACCAAATACTTAAATTATCTTCACACTAATGTATGCGCAGTTATTTAAATAAATATTTTTCTAAGCCCTTCTAATTAATTTTATATAAATGCTCAAAAGACCCCGTAGTAAGATTACAATTCCCTGGGGCCTGGCTCGGCTATCGAGGGCGCTCTGAAAACACACACCATTTTAAATTTTTTACAGTTCTTAGTCAAAATTTTTGACAGGTCTTTGTGATAAAGTCTCAAAAATTTAATTATTCGCTTACGTATACAATCATTTCGTTCACTAGCCAAAACTTAAAAATTGTTTCGTAAAATTTTTAACTTACAATAAAAGCGCGCATCTTTTTTTTTTTTACAACACAGTGCGAACAGTTTGGAGCGAACTCAAAAATTAAACACCAATTGTACGCGACACACTTAACACGACCCCAGTTGGGACTGAACCAATTGGCAAATGCAAATCAACTAAATGTTAATCAGTTGAAAAGCAATCTTTTATAACACTACCAAATTTGAAAATTACTGCTGCACAGCAGTTAACCAAAAATAACAGTCGAACACATGCATAAAGGTAAAGTAGGTGACCAAAAGCTAAGCACGCGAGTTCATTTGGCCCATGCAGATGAAGAGGACGACGAAGAAGAAGAAGAAGAAGTTGAGAGGGCGCACAAAATGCATTGTTGTGAAGTGCGATAGTTGTACCTAAAACCAAAACGGGTTATACGCAAAAAGCGCCAAAAATTAGCTAAGATAAGAAGTGACGAATAAGAGGAAGAAGAAGAAGCTGAGAAACAAAAAGGCGCGCTTGGCACAAGCTGAGAGCGCGCGTAAGAGCTCAACTACTGTGAACAACCAGCTTGGAGTACGGTGTGTGTTTCGATACTCGTAGACTTTTTACACGAGTGCGTGTGTGTGGGAATTTGATTAAATTATTGCTGTAATATGCAGGTAATGAAATTCACTGGATGCCACCGGAAGTCTAATTTCCACATACGCATACTAGCGCACACACTCGTGAGCTGAAAAAAAAATTGACTTAGATCGAAATGACAAAGTGATGAGTAAACATAAGGGGTTTATTAATTTTCCCATCCAACAATTAGCCAAGTTCCCGTGCACCTCTCCATTAATGCCCATATGCAATTATGGCGTTGGCAGCAATTTTCGTGGCCTATTTTTTTTCGCTGTCAAGTTTGTCGGTTACGCAAGCGCCAACTGATGACCCATTGGCAAATCAAAGAGTCGTGTCGGATTTGGGCACTTGTTGGAAATAATTGTTGCCTGCCAACAACCGTTTTCCGTGAGGCTTAACACAAAGATTACTGAATGGCATTGTAAACGCTCATTGCTTTTCGCCTTAGGGCGCCTTGGCGGGCAGATCATGATCACCCAGCGGGTGTCTGCAGCTCACACATAGATCGCTTACGGTTGGGTAAACAGTAATAAGCTGCATACATTTATCGCTCTATCAAAACCTGATTTTGGGTATGGATATTATGCCAATTGCAACTTGTTGAGTAGGGTTTGCCGGGCCAATTGACAGCTGATCCACCTTTCCTTGGTTACAAGTTCGAAAATATAGCTTTGTTTTTCCTGTTGCATAAAACTAATTACCTTTTATAACAAATCAAGCGCATAAGTATGACAAATTTGCAGTTATATAACCAGCTTGCGAATGGAAGACAGCCGAAAAGTAATTGTCGTAGAAATTGAAGTGAGTGGAACTTCACGCTTTGCATACCTTAGTCCCCATTGCTTCAATACAGTTCAGACAAATATCGTCAATTAATGTGGCGAAAAATCGCTTGCAATCTCAATCTATTCATACAATTTACTTATATCATCTTCTTTAATTAAAGATAGCAAATCGAAGATTAAAATTATCCGCAAATATTTTTTGCAAATATTGCGCTTGTGACCTTCGTTGTAATTGTGTGAATATTGTGCCACAAACTCAATAACCTGCTTTTGACAGACTTATTTAACACTTTCAACGCTATTAATTAAAAATCAACCAGTGAAAATATTTACACTGCATTTGAATTGAATTTGCTTATCATTCATTAGTATCAAAAATATTTTTTTGTCCGAATACTATTGCCTTCGTAGATCGGTGTCATTGGCTGTTGCTGTAAGCATTTGAATTTCTGTTGTTTTTTATAGCAATGTCCGTGGGATTATCTTTATACGGTAGTTTTTTTTTAATTTTTGCCAGGTCTTCTCGCATGTAAACACATTCGTCTATTAAAAATTTACATACACTGACTTTTTTCACTGGACTGCCTTCGCAGGGGATTAAATAAAAAATAACAACGCAGTCAAGTTGGTTTATTGTTTCGTGATAGAGGGCGAATTCGCTGAGGAGCTACATCATCTTCTTGTCCACGTTTATCACCAGACTCATTCGCTTTACCTCCCCGAATAACTTGGAAAAGATAGGACAAGCAGAGCGGCTACTAAGGCTGTTCAAGTCGAGATCATATTACTCAACGTTTATGTTACTCAACGTTTCGCGGGTCTTTAAAATCGATGAAGAGATATTGTGGGTTGCTCTCCTTATAGCGGCTATTTCACACGATTTATCGCATGTTGAATACCTCGCGTACAACAATGCTGATAAGAGCAAATCAGTTGGTGGAGTTAAGCCTTTCACACAATACGCTCGATAATATCGTATAGTCGATGCTTAGTAGGCTCATTGTACGACAGTCGACGCCTATGGCAGATTCGCCTTTCTTATGGATTGGACAGAGCATATGTCTGTGAAGTTGGCATACGGAATGATGCAAAAAGAATAAAACTGTTCTGAGTAAATTTTCAATAGTTCTAGAGATCTTGAAAATGAAGAAAGTGCTGGATATTTTGACAAAAAAAAAAAATGTGCAACAAATTTTGTATAAGCCAGATTCGCGCAGCATATGCCACACAGTGGTGCGTCCCATAAAAGTTGGCCGTTATTTTATGAATTATTAGATTTTAAACCAGTATGTAATACATATCCGTACAATTTATAGGCCAAAAGCAATGCATACAATTTTTTCCCCCAAAATTTATATATTTAAAATTTTTTGAAAATGCCAAATGAATACCAAACGGCTGAAATTATTAAAGTCGTACAATAACCACGCCCATATCCCATATAACGGTATTTTAGAGAAATGCGAAATCTTCGATAAATCAGTATATACTGAAGCTAATTTATTCAAAGTATATAAATTCTTTAGCAAAAAAATACGTTTATGATAACATTTTGGAAAAGGGGCGTGGCCCCGCCCACTTATGACCACTAATGCGTATCTCGGTAACCGTTCTATCCATTTGTATCAAACTCGGTACGATTATTGTTCCTGCCACATAAAAGCATAACGTTGAGAATTGTTGATTTTATGCTAAAATTACGCCCACTTTTCATATAACGGTAAATTTCATAAATGCTTGAAAGTTCGATATTTCGTAATTTAATTTACTCAAAATTGATATTAACAACAATCGCTCGAAAATTAGTAACATTATTTTGGGCTTTTGGAAAATGGGCGTGATACCGCGCACATATAACTATATAAGTTTATCTCATTATGTCTAACTGGACGTTCTATCGAAGATGTTTGAAATAGGCGTAAAACCACTAAAAAACTATATTAAATACTTGCCCCGTACGTATTTAATGTTCGGCTCTGCCCGAACCTAGACTTTTTCACTTGTTTTATTTGGGTTCTGTACGTGAAATGAGCTAAGCGAGGAATTTTTCCTGTTTTCTGCGGAGATATGATCTGCCGAAATTTAGGTTTTCTCGTGATTCTAATAATCATATACTAATTCAAATCGTTATATCTCGGGTTGTGCTCACCGCA